CACGCGCACGCTCGCGCGCACTTACACCCGCGGAGGCGCGCGCCCGGCCCCGCCGGCACGGCCAATGGGGAGCCCCTCCCTCCCTGTCACGTGGGCGGACACACGCGCCGTGGGCGGGGCGCGCTGCTCTCGATGGTTCCGCCGGGCGCGGCTGGCGCCCCCTGCCGGCCGGGCGGAGTGGCTGCAGCGGAGGGGCGGTTCGGTGTCACCGGGACAGGGACAGGGACCGGGACAGGGACACGGACAGGGACAGGGACAGGGACAGGGACAGGGACAGGGACACGGACACGGACACGGACACGGACACGGACAGGGAGCGGCGGCAGGGCTGACACAGGGCCGGCACCAGGATTAGGGCATCCCTTCCTAATTAACAAGGGCTTGGAAAACTGAGAATGTCCTGGTTTTTGGGAGGGACTGCTACTGTGGAATGTGCTGCCGTTCCACCCGCTCAGAGGGACAGTGCTGTTCTGCCATTGGAAGAATTGACCTTCATCGCCTCAAACAGCACCGTCACCAGCTCCATCYTGCCCCGCTGGGCATGGTTTTGGACAGCTGGGTCACCTCCAGGGTGTGGTTATGGCAGACAGCTCTCAGCTCCAGCTGCAGGCACTGACTGGGAATTCCTCATCTTTCTTAACCCTGCGTTGGCACTTCTGCCTTCAGCCTCATCTTCCCACAGCGGTGGCTGCAGCAGGCACCACAAGGTCTCAGTGCAGCCACACCACCCAGGTCAGTGACCTGCTCAGAGCACTCGATGGCAAATGTGTTCTGTTTGTCCCTGAGGAGCTGCAGTTTGGGAATGGCATCACCCAGGTCAAACTCCACGGCTTGGCCTGGGAGTTTCATCCCCCAGTTCTTGCAGCGTCCACCCTCCTGTGACAGTAAAAAACCATAAACAGAGAGAGGACAGAACAAAATGTGTCCTTGAAAGCAATGAGCCCATCTGCTTTCTCTTCCAGGCTCAGTCTTGGGCACAGCATGTCCCGAGTGTTCAGGGGCAGAACCACTTGGAGTGTGTCTGCAGCGGGGCTGAGAGATGAAAAGCCTTTTTCTTATCTCATTCCAGCTTTTTCCAGTCTGGTCTGGCAGACAGACATTGCCTGGCACCCAGTGACCACCTCCACACCACGATTTTCAGCCTCCTCCCTCAGCTCAGAGGGAGTTAAACATCTCTGAGAGCAGTTGAGACCATAGTAAATTACTCCCCTAGTCCAGAGATAAATAATACTGTTTAAATATAGGGAAGCAAGAATGAATCTTYATTTTGTTTAAAAACAGGATTTGAAGAAATCTTCACAATTCTTTATAATGGGAAATCCTCATGTGCTCTCCTGTTTACAGAGRGCTGGAAATGGGCAAAAGTGACAGATTAAAGTTATTTAGAAGCATTAAAGTCATTTAACAGCCGAGCAATTCTACCAGGTGACCCAACATCCTTTGTGCCTAGAGGGACCTGTGGGAATYCCTCGGCAGCTCAGGGCTAGAGYTGGGATCTGGCCCAGGTTTCCTGGTTGCCAGGTGGCAACTTCCCTCCCAGAGCAGCCTTGGCTGGTTTTTGTCAGGCAATCACTTCTCTCTGCGTGTTTGTCACCACAATYAGACAAGCACTGCAAATGCTGGTTGGGAGAGGCGCCGTGGCTGTCTCCAAGGGTGGAGGATCAGGATGTATCCCTGTGGGAAGGGAATTTGCTCACACCTTGGACACCCAGGTGCTGCTGTGTGCCCTGCAGCACCTCCAGAGAGCCACACTGCAAATCCCTTTGGCTCTCTCCTGCTTGCCCAGGAATTGTGAGATTTTCACGAGGCGATTCAGGGAGGGTTGTCTCCATTTCTATTGCTGGAGCCAGAGAAGTGAAACACATTTCCATCAGTGAGTTATTACCTGCTGTGCTGATCAAAGGGACAAAACCATCTTGGATTGATTCRCCAGGGCAGTGTTTTAACCAGGAGGGTTTGAGGCTACACAGGAGATGTGGTCTGAGGGGAAAGCTGATCCCTTATTAAATCAGCAGACAGGATTGAATGTGGGGCTCAGCTCAGGGGTTATGTGCCTGAAAGTCTGTCTGCGCTCCTTATTTTTTCCAGCTGTGCTGGGGGAGCCTAATAAAGGTACTGCTGTCCCTGCAGCCTTTCACCCAACTGCTCACCCGCTGCTTTGCTGCTGCTGATTTATGGCATGGGGGCCAAAMGTGTGGCCTGAGAGGGGTGTGCCCTGCACAGGGTGAGACTGAGGGGCTCAGCTCCYGTCTGGGGCCTCCTTCTTTGCCCTGAGGGATTTCCGGGAGGAAAAATGCTGAGGATGGGGAGAAGATAAATGAAAGACCAAACAGGCAATAGCAGCTGCCTTGAATCAGGCCCTGGCACAGCACCAAAGTAATCAAGGGGTCAGTGGGAGAGTAGCACAGTCCTGGATCCCCACTGGGGTGGTGGAAAATGGTTCTTCCCTTTCCAGCAGCATCCCCAGGTAGCACCAGTGAGGGCTGGGCAAGAGAAGCCAAGGCAGGTGAGCGGCCAACTCACTCAGTGGTCAAACATCTCTCCATCCTGCAGAGGATTTGGAGTTTGGGCTTGAGATTGGCACAGAGTGGTGGCACATCCCATTCGCCCTGGACACAGCTTGTAGGGCTGTGACCCCACAGTGCTGGCTCACTGATTTGATCCCCTCCATATTCCTGTAACTGCTGGACAATGTTTTTATGCCCAGAGGAGTAGTGGCTGCAGGTCCTGTCTTTGATTTCCCCCCTTGCTGGGGGATATAAAGTTACTGCACACCCCAAGGTGCAGGTGCTCCCTCCTGGGTAACCCTTCGGTGCTTTCAGACAGCTCCTTTGTTTTTTCCTGCTGTTTTCCAGCCCTGTCTGCACCGGGGAGGGGACATTCCCTGAGGAACTGGGATGCCGGGTGCCACAGTAATGGTTGCCATGGCAAGGGCTGCCACCCTTCCCGTGGTCCTTGGGGACCAGAGCTGTCAGTGTGGCTGCAGGCAGTCCTGGGGACACGACAGCCAGATGATGTGTGGGGAGAGCTGGACTTGCTGATGTATCTCTTCTCATCTCCTGGATTGTTTGTGCTGGGTGGGAAGCAGCTTCTTGCACAGGGACTTTTTGTCCATGAAGATCCAGGACACCCAGCTCAAGCTGGGAGCACCCTGGGGTGGAAGCATGGGATGTGGGTGCTGAGCACCCACCTTGGAGCACACACTGTCCGCAGGCAGGAGCTCAGCAGTGACCACATTACCTCTGCCTGCATCCTCAGGCCTTTGCCCTTTTCAAGGGATGCTTGGACAAACTTTCCCATTAGTTTTGCTCTGTTTCACCTGCAAGCAAGCAAATGCACTTCATGGATGAGGGCAGCTGGGTTTGAGTCCTYCTAGGTGCCAGGAGCTCCTTGTATCCTGAAAAAAGTCAGTCTGCTGCTTAAAAGGCAGTTTTTCCTCTAGCAGCATCAGCAGCACAGTGCAGGTAGGAGCCTTTCCCTTAGTACCCATTCCTGGAGCTGTATTCATCTTGGCAGGTTCCCCACGGAGAACCAGAACAAAGCCTAAAGGGCTCAAAGCAGGCAGGGAAAGCTTTAGTCTGAAATAGTCCACCTTGCTAGGGATGAACAGCAGGAATCCACATGGCTTCTCTCCTTTATCCAGMTGAGTGAGGACAGGCAGCTTGAAAGAGGTCAAGACATCTTCGTAATTGGTGGGGAACTTTCAGATTACCCTTGAGCAGGGAGGTTGTGACACGGCTGCCCTTCCCTGCAGCTGGCAGTAGGTGCCTGGTGAGTGTTCTCAAGCCTGCAGAGATAATCGRCTCTTTATGGCCTGCTGTGGCCAGAACTGCTCCTGGAGGAGAATGGCTGGACTCTCAGTGGTTGCTGTGTCCTCTCCTTGTCCCCTGCAGTGTGGGCTCCCTTTGGCTGACATGTATCACTGAGGTGAGCAGCTCTGGTGCTGGCACAATCAGCCTGGTGTAGGGGTGCTTCCCAAATTGGGGGAAGCTCAGGAGGAGCCAGGAACTGCCAGGAGCCTGCAATTCACCCGACAGTGGCTGATGGGACCTGGGCAGGCCCAGAGCAAAGGACAAGAGAAACTGCTGGAATAGCACCACACCTTCTCTGGGAGACAGAGCTGACAGGAAGCACAACAGAGAGGATTCTGTCCTCTCTCTGCCGGGCTGAACATGGTGACTAAAACGAGGGGGGCAATGACACTGCAATTGAGCACTAATTAACTATTTTCAACTTGGACTTTACAGAAGTTACACACTCAGAAGAGGATGTCAGAATCCTGCTCGTCCTCCCAGGGAAGGTGTGGTGGCACACACAGCTCACTCAGGGTTGAACACRTCCTTTCAAACACTGCTACGATTTACAGGAGTTGTACATTCCTGTAATGGGTGGTGTTAGCACACCTGAGTAGTCCCAGGTCCACCACTACAACTCCATAGAGAACTGGGTYTGAAAAAGTGCTACAATAGAAAAGCACAGCAGGGAATGAAAACCTCGAGGCAATGGAGAAAGTGAGATGAGTATAAATGTCAGCAGCAACAAAGGCTGGCCATAAAAATGTACTGGGAGCATGCTGGTTCTCCTTGAGTTAAGTTTTATCAGGTCTTTTACAAGTGTTTAGACAGGAATAATTAAATCTAGGTGTAATTACATGTTAGCTGTGGCTGATTAAGTATGCTAATTAATCTGCAGTTATCATTTGTTGGGGGGATATAATGGAACACAGGTAAAACTGCAGCAATTTAAGGAAATCCTGACTATTGTTCCAAAGGAGGAGGTCTCTGAAGGGAAATGCCTGAGCAGTGATGTGGGTGAGGGAGGGTTCAGAAATGCTGATAGGGCAACRAAGGAAGGTTGTAAAATGCGGCCTAAACCAAGGCCAGCACAAGATRTGATGAAAGCAATGCAGGGCTTTGGCATCTGAACTGCAGCTTCAGCAGGGCTGAGGCACTTGGCAGTCTGGTTTACAGGGAGAGCCTGGGAACTTCTCCCTGGGAAAAGAGCATTGGGAGGTGTAGCAGCTGTGATCAGGGGAGAGGTAGGAATACCTCAACTGAGCCTAGAGAGCTGCCACAGAGGCATTTA